ACTCCTATCATCCTTATTTGCATTCATTTATTGTTCAAATTCAAAATAAATAAATTTATTAATGAAGTATTTTTTTTTTATCACTTATAAGCTGCTTGAATTACATTGACACTATTCTTGATTTAACAACAATTAAAAAATAGCCATAAAGTATTCATAACTGAGTGAGCAATATTATAAAGCCCTTGAGTTGAGAAATTTATATTTAAACTGATTAACTTTTTTGTTTTTCCACTATTCTTGGAATAAAGCCCTTGAGAGTTCAGGTTGAGAAATTTACTTTTCAATCAATTAACCTTTTTTCTTAACTTTATTGTTTCTTTGTTAAAAATCTTATTTGTTAAGATTCAAAAATCTATTTTCTAATTTTTTTTTCTTTGTTTTTTTACAACTTTATTACATCAACATAAAATATATTTTCTCCTAATTTCCGAAAATAATATAAAATTAATTACAAGTTCATTTAAGAGTAATAATTAAAATTTTAGTCTACACAGTTGAAAAACAATTGTAAAAAAATAGAACTCTTTGGTTCAAGGTTAATTTAAAAAAAGATTTCAACATAATTATCACTATATCTTTATAGCTTAGAGATATCTGGGTTAAATTTTTAAAATTTAATTTAATTTACAAAGCACAAGAAAAATAAATCAACTGAAGAAACAAAATAAAAAATGTTATATTTTATTCCATTATTTTATTAAGACAATATATTAATACTTAAATAAATCTTGCAATATTGCTACGTTCATAGCAAAAATTTTTAAGCAAACGCAAAGATGCTTAAATAAAGAAACATGATGGTTGTGAAGGTTGTTTTTCTGCCATTTTTTGTGTTGCTTGCAAATTGGTTTAATTATATCTGGAATAAACTCAACAAAAATCTGATTATACAACTGATAAAACTGGAGAATAAAAGAATAAAGTCTGAACTAAAACAAAAACATAATAACAAAAACTCACTAAGTAGAGCACACACTAATAACTCTGAGTGAAAGATAAAAACTGTGGTGTAACTTTGAAAAACTATTATCAAAGTTTAATTACCAAAGTCTTTTTAAATGATTTGTCACTCTCTTACTTGTTAATAAAGCGATTGTAGAAAATTTTATATAAAATGATATTTTCATTCACAAAGAAGAAGATAATAAATGAACTTTTATAATAAAATAATTAAGATCATTCATTTTTATAAAACAACTATTTGATGTATATTAGTTTTTTATATATTGTTGTTTTATTAGAACGATTGATTATTTTTTTTGAATATTAATTATAAAAATTAAATATAAATAATTATTAAAAAAAAAAACATTAGGTTTTTTTTTTTTTTTTTTGCAAGTTGTTTTTCTGTCTTTTTATTGCTAAAAAAACATTTATTATTACAATTAAATTTTTAACTATACTTGGCATTAACTATACTTAATTTTTCAAAAAAGCCCGTGCAAGACTATCTAGGCAGGTGACCTTCAAAGACGGGTTTAGATAAGTTATTTATAGCATTTACCCCTGCTGAAGCCTATATATATATATATATATATATATATATATATATATATATATATATATATATATATATATATATATATATATATATATATATATATATATATATATATATAGGGCCTATTCTAGAAAAAATATTTGGGCAGTGGTACCTCTCGTTTTGGCGGACTTTAGCAGAACATCGGCGTTATTTTTTTAAAACAACATTTGCCGTTAAAAAATATTTAAAAAAAAGGTCTAAATACCGCCTAAATACAGGCTTTATCAGGAAGCGGGAGCGATCGTTCTTGATTGCTGACCACGGAAATAATATTTAGTTGAGAAAAGCTGGCCAGATTTTTTAGTCGTTTTGAGAACATTTCAAAAAGCAAAAAAAAAAAATGCGCTAAAGATTAATTGGACCAATGAGAGACAATTACAAAAAAAAGAATAAAAAATTAGGAAAATAAAATATCTTATAACGCAAAAAAACTTAAATCGCTCTTTTATAATTTTTTTATAAAATTAAGCGACGTTTTTTATATAAAGTAACATCTTACTTTTGTTTAAAAATGTTCCTAATTTATCAAAGTTTGCAAGTTTTAGTTTTATCTAAGCTAAATTATTTTATAAATAAAAAAGTTAATTTGTTTAAAGGGATCCCAAACTCCTGACACATGTTGTGTTCATATTAAAGATAATGTTAAAAAAAAAAGTTTGAACCAAGCTTTTTTGATTAAAAATAAATAATGAATGCCTACCGAGAAAAACTAACATTGTTATTTTAGCCGAAGCTTGCCTTCTCCATTTTTTTCAATAACTCTGATTCTTTAAATTATACGTCACAATCTACAGACTTTGGCAATTCCTTTAAAGCGCGTTTAATTCATAAAAGTTTTAGTATTTGACGTCACGGTAGACTTTTAACAAATGAAAATCTGTAAATATTTTTATTTATTTTTATTCAAACTTTTTTTGATTATTTGTAAGTTTTTTTTCTTTCTATTTTTAACATTTAAAAAGATATTAAAAACCTCAAATATTTTATGCTGGTTTGTTGCTATAAATTGTTATTGCGCCATATATTTAATGTTTATAAATTATGAATATTTATTATCTCAATCAAGACTCTGATAAAAAATTGTTTTACATTAATTACCCTTATAAAATTAGTAAAAGCATTTTTATTTGATTAGATAATATTTCGTATCAATTTGCTTTGCATGAAGTTCAGGATCTCACATATCTTTTCGTGAATTTTCATATCTGATACAACTGTCAACTGTATTGTTTAGTGTATTCTTGTACTTTTTTTTCATAACCTTAACAGGTTCTAATTGGTATGGAGTTGCCAACATTTTAAAAGTTTCATTATCAAAAATCAAATGTAAAATAAAATGATATTTCCTTTTAATCCGTATCCAATTTAGCAAATTTAGCAATTTAAAACAAATCAGCGTAATCAAAAAATTTTTATAATAAAAAAAGTTAACAATTCATCAAATATCTCGAATTTATACTGTCACTTTATGAAATTAATTGTTAATACTTTTTTTCGACGGGAAAACAAAAAATATCATAGCGTAAAAATAACCAGAGAAGTTAGAAAAAAGTTCCCATTGTTTAAATAAAAATAAGTAAGATTCAGAATATATAATACTGCACTCTCTTGCACAAAAACGAGAGAACGTATACATAACGTTCTATATAATGTAAAACACTCATATGAAAATCATAAGATTCGTAAGTAAAGCTTTAATATTTGTTTTAATTTAAAAACAAAAGAAATATAAGTAAGATATAAATCTAAAAATTATTAAGATATCGGTAAAAAAAAAAGTTCCTCTTATGAAATAAAAAGCTTTTATTATTTTTGATTTTTACAAAATTTTGTTGTAAAAGTTGTTTTGCTGTATGTTAAAATTTTTTTTTTTTGAATTAAAATAGAAAAACGCAGCTTTGTTTAATTACACTTTTCTCTTGTTAAACATCTACCGTGACGTCAAATGCTAAAACTTTTATGAATTAAACGCGCTTCAAAGGAATCGCCAAAGTCATTAGATTGCGACGTATAGTTTAAAGACTCCGAGTTATTGAAAAAAATGGAGACGGCAAGCTTCGGCTAAAACAACAACATTAGTTTTTCTCGGTATGCATTCATTATTTATTTTTAATCAAAAAAACTTGGTTCAAACCTTTTTTTTTAACATTATCTTTAATATGAACACAACATGTGTTGGGAGTTTGGGATCCCTTTAATACCTATTTTATGTTTCGCGTAGTTTAAAAAGTTTAACATATTTGAAACAATTCTTCTTGGTAAGATAAACAAATGAAATAATTAAATCATTGAATTACTATAGAAATTAAATCTACTAAATAGAAATCAACTAAAAATGCTAAAAATACTTTTATGGCGAGGAAGCGAAACTGCTTCATAATATCGCTGATGATGTTTAGTGAGTGGGCTTTTTAATTTTAATTAGTATTTAAAGCAGAAAAAAGTATAACGAGTTTTTAAGAATAGCAACTTAAGCGAAAATAATTAGATTTAGTGAACCAATATCTAGAAACTTTTCTTTATATTTTATAACTTGCTATATATTTATGTTCTGTCATGACCTCAGACGCGGTGCTTGTTCATCCGCGAGTTACTTTGTATGCATAGTTTGTGTTTAGTAACCAGAAACTTCTTATATGTTTGCTACATAATTTTTTTGATTAACTTTAATGATTATTAATAACTTCATTGAAAAAGCAATTATTTTTGTAAGCCTTTGTTTGCAAATTATCTCGATAAAAAACAGATACACAAAATTACATTTACATAAAAAATACATACTCTTTAAATAAGTATATACTAATAAAATCTACAATTTATAATAAACTTTCAAAATTTTGACAATTTAAATAATATATATTTAAAACATTTATTTATGTAAACAAATAATAATAGTTTATAAGATTTACAGCTATGCAGATGGCTCCGAGAATGAGCCATAGAATTGCTAATATATTCTTAAAACAATCTATGATAACATAACAAATCGTGAATAATATAATTTCTAAAACATTTCAACAGAATACTTTAGAACTTATTTCGCTTAGTCAGCGTATTTATTGAACCAATAGAAATAGTTTGTTCGTTAATTTAGCAGGTTTTTAGAGTTCGCGAATATTCTTTATATTCTTCTGCACCAAGAACATTCAAGTTTTTTATGTTACCACGTATGTCTGTAAAACCAAAATTTTTTGTTTCGTACATAAACTTAAATATTCTCAAAACGACTAAAAAACCTGGCCAGTTTTTCGCAACTAAATATAATTTCCGTGGTCAGTATTCGAGAGTGATCGCTCCCACTTCCCAACCAAGCCTACTTAAATATGGTCGACGCTGTCAAAAAAGGCCCTGATGTACATATATATATATATATATATATATATATATATATATATATATATATATACATATATAGACACACAAAATTGAAGGCAAAAAAAAAATTTAAACATACATGTTCGAGCCCTTGGGGAAAAGGAACATCTTTCCAATCCTTGCACGGAAACCGCTGTATGATACTGCTTTTTAACTCAACTTTTTTATCTAAATAATAAAAAAAAAACTTTGATATCTATATTGTAAAATCACTTTAAATGAATTAAAACAACATAAAATAGAACGTACCAACAAAAATGTTACTAATTTAGTGTTTTAAAAATATCATATTAATAAGACATTTATTTTTTAAACATTAAAAAGAAAATTTTGTTTAGCTTAAAAAATTTATATCTTTAAAAAGAATTTGCATTTTTAATATTTGTCCTGGGTCAGAATGATTGCTGAAATCACTTTGAAAACATTAGTTAATAGTGTTCATAAATGTTTACTAAGAATTTTGATTTCTTTTACATTCAACTGTGTATTGAATAAATACAATGAAAAAATAAACTTTTCACTTTTAACAAAGATTAGAATAGTGTTTGATTTTAGTTATATAACATTGAATAAAATATGTAAAATAATAAATAAACAAATTTTATAAAATGTAAATATTTCATTGGGCATTTTCATTGCTATGTGAGATTTTTTATTTTTCTTTGTTTGAACAAAGAAAAAATGAGACTTAAGCGATATATTTTTTAACACATGCACAGAGTGTTTTGCTACATCAACTCATTAACTATCTTATAGTCTGCTGCTACAAGGGAGTGTTGCTACATTAACTATATTATAGCCTGATTTACAAGGGAGTGCTTCTACAACGCGGCCATGGCGCAGTGGTTACAGCAATTGCTTTATAAGCAGGAGATTCAGGTTCAAAACGAGCTCTCAACATATTTTCACGTCATTGTAAGGAAGGAGGTGTGAACTTTCTAGTTAAATGCACTTCTGCGGTGCTCTGTGACAAGACCATTAGGTCTTCTTGGGGCACATTTTTAATCATTTCATTCTTTGATTAAAAATCAAGTTTAAAAAAAAAAAAAACTTTTAGACAATTCTTTATAAAAATAGAAACAAAAAAAAAGGAAATTAAATCTTGAGAAAGATTTAACTTATAATTTAAAGTAACTTGAAAATAATAATCTTTTAATAAAAAAAAGACTTTTTATAATAAATTTTAATGTTTGAAACTATTTTAAAAATAGTTTCAAACGTTTAAATTTAGCATAAAAAATACATACATAATTTAAAAAAATTAAATACATTCAATTTACATATAATACATTTATTTTCAATTATAATTTTTGATTTTATTTAAAGTTTTATAAAATTTTAATTTACGCTTAACGTGAAATAAAAACTTTTAAAAAGATCAACGATTAAAAGTTATTTGTAATGCAACGATTTTTTTTTGCATTTAATAATTAAAACATTAAAACAGCCGTTGTCAAGTTATAAAGAATAACAAAATGAGCATTGTCAGTTACAGCGCGAAAATTCAAGTCTATCTAAAAAACATACAATATTAAATTGGAATTATTTTATTAAAAAAAAAAAAGCAAAAGTGTGCGATAAAATATTTAAAATAACTAACATTAAATAAACTTAATAAGATGACAAAGATTTCGATGGTTCCGAAAACTGTAAAATTATATTAAAAATTTGATCGGACACTGTCTGACCCAAACAAGTTTTGATCGGACATTTTGTCCGGGACTTTATAAAAAATTAAATTGAGCCTTGTATTTTTATAAAATAATTGAAACAAAATGAAGCAAAATTATATAAAAATTTCAAAAATATTATTCATTTTGAAAAAAATTGTTATTTTTTATTTTATATATATATATATATATATATATATATATATATATATATATATATATATATATATATATATATATTTATATATATATATTTATATACCAGAGTAGAAAATAATGGCCGGTCAACAGTCGCGCATGAAATGACTAAAAATGTTACTTTGACCTCCCCAAACGAATTCTTGCTGGTCATGGTTGATTGTTTAAAAAATAACAACAGAGATCTAAAAGGTTTGACAAATAATATGAATGTTATTTGGAAAATGCATTTACTAAAATTTTATAAAATTATTTAAATTTTAAAAAACTTTTAAAATAGTTCTCTAGTTTATGATATGCTTACTTTAATTGCTAGCGGGTTGTTAAAGCGATAATTTTGAAAGCAAAAAGTTTGAAACCTAAAAGAAGTTTAAATGAATTTTTCTTTAAACTTTTTATTGTTCAATATGCCTGGTTTTTATCTTTTTTTTAAAAACATTTGAATAAAATTATTTTTTATCAATGTAATTCAATAATTAAAAATTAAAAACTTAGCAATAATTTATATCAATATAATTCAATAATTAAAAAATAAAAACTTAATAATTAATATCAATATAATTCAATAATTAAAAATTAATAATTTATTAATAATCGCTTATAATTAATACTTAACTTAACGCTGCTGCTCACCATTCGTGCACCTTTACACGGATTTTTTTACCATACTTGGCCTTTGAGTTTTATCATAAATTGCTTTACTTCTGAACTCGCCTAATGGGGCTCTTTCAAATCTTAATAATCTGTCAGTATCTGCTTAATCAGTAATGAGATCAAAAACTTTGTTTCATCAGCTTAATTAGTGATAAGATCAACAATTTTTATTTGATAACTTCTGTAGTAAAGGATGAACATTATGTTATTATTGAATTAGTAAAGTAACTTTTAAAGTCAGGTGATTTATTTAAATCATGCATTTTAGTCTTTTGTCAATTGTATTTAAATTTATTAATTTATAAAATTAATCTCTAATTTTTAAATTAAAAGACGACTCAAGAAGACGTTGCTCATTTCAAAGGTCAAGAGGTCAAACTCTTGATAAAGTTAGTGTTTAAAACACTTGCATCTCACACGGTCAACTCAATGTTACATGTTAAAGAACAAGATCGTTTAATACCTTATTTAAAAGAAGTTATAAAAATCCGTATAAAAAACCAGATTGTTTGATAGTTTGTTTTTGAAAGTTGTTAAACATTTATTACGAGGTATTTCAAAAAACAAAAATAAGGTTGTATTTGTAAAGTTTCAAATTTATATATTTTTCTTAATTTATATATTTATCTATATATGTGTGTTATTTATATTGTGTTTTATTGTGTATATATGTGTTAAGGTTATATGGGTTTATATTTTGTAAGTGTGTAAATATATGAAATGTTTCAATGTTTGTGGTGTGTTATATGTAATATGTTTATAGTTTGTAAGTGATAATTATGTTGTTTGCATGGTTTCAAATTGTTGTGACTGGGCTTAGTTTACAGCAAGATTGTTGACCTCGCTAGCCAAGTGGTGTACTTTGCTATAATGTGACCTGGCTTTGTTGAGAGCAAAAATATTGTCCTCGCCAGCAGAGTGGTGTATTGTCATAATAAAACACATAAATTAATTCTGTTTGTAATTAGTGTATTTCTAAAATGTGTTGAAAAAATATTGTTTAAAAAATGTGTTTTAATGTTGTTATCCTCTGTTCTTAACAATGTATGCTTTTGACAATAAATAAATTTTGTTAAAAAGCAGGCTTTACTAACAGCTCCTCCTCATTAAAATTTTTAAGAGTTTCGATTTTCTTCATTAAATATGTTTAACTCAAATTTTTTTTATATATATAAAAGTAAGTATACAGCGTGTTGAAGCATAAGTTTTAATAACTTTTGTTAAATTTTTAGGATTTTTTGTATAGAGAATGTTTTCTTTATATTATTATTTTAATGTTTTGTATGTACATCAATATATATATATATATATATATATATATATATATATATATATATATATATATATATATATATATATATATATATATATATATATATATATATATATGTATATATATATATATATATATATATATATATATATATATATATATATATATATATATATATATATATATATATATATATATATATATATATATATATATATATATATATATATATATATATATATATATATATATAGACACACACACACACACACAATAAAATATATAGAATTAAAATGTCTATACATATATTATATGTATAGACATTTTAATTTTTTTGCCTTAAATTTTTGTCCCTTTTTCTTTAGAATATTAAATATCTAAAAAAAAAATAAAATAGTAAAAGAAGTTTCAATATTTCCAAGTTTCTTCACTTGAAGCAAATATATGATTGTTTATAGAGGTTCTTTTAGTAGTTTTGTATTTATTTATTGCAAATCTTGCGTTAAATGCCTTTCAAAGTAATGAAAGGGTTTTGTTGATGGATGATTACATTTTATCCTTCCATGCTAGCAGTACCTGCTGAGTTGACAGGCCTTAAATTTTTTTAATTTGCTTTATTTATGAGTTCTTATATGTAAAAAATTTGTTTTTTAAATTACATTTGTTTTTTTTGTTTTTTTTGATTAAATACTTATAATATTTTGTCAATAATTGATAACAACTACCATAAATATATAAACAATACTTAGTTGAAAATATTACATTAATTTATAACTTTAGTTTAAGTTTTTAATAAAACTATGTTATCTTAACACAATGCTATATATGGTAGAATATAATAGATTATAGTATTATGCTCTGTATTATTTGCTTACACTTTATTTTAGATAAGTTTAAAAAAGAAACTTCAACTTTTATTATATTAGGCATCATTTTTACACACTCCTTTGATGCCTAATTATGTCTAATAATTTAAGAAATGAAATTATTAGACTTCGTCAAAATGAAAGAAGGCAGGCTAGGCGAGCTGAGATAAACCGCCGTCGAAATGAAAGAGATGAGCCCAGGCGAGCTGAGATAAATCGTCGTCGAATGGAAAGAGATGAGTCCCGGCGAGCTGAGATAAATCGTCGTCGAATTGAAAGAGATGAGCCCCGGCGAGCTGAAATAAATTGTAATCAAAATGAAAGAAATCAGGCTAGGCGAGAACTTAATAGGTATAATATGCATCGCATAGCAAGAAATAATATTGCTATAGAGAGTAACTACCTCGGAGAATTAAACCATAATTGTCAGTATTGCAGTGCAAAGAAGTTTTTAAATGAAACTCATTTTTTGTGCTGCCATTCAGGAAAAGTTGCATTAGCTCCTCT